CATTGTAAACACTAATTAAAATGAAGAAATATTTATTTACAAACACATTTATTTTAATGTAAGGGGTTTCAATGAATTATGTTTTCGGTAAATTATTTCTTTCCTCTTTTTTTTCTTCTTCTTTTTTTATTCTTTTTTTTTAAATTCTGTTTTATTAACAACTTTTTAATATAAAAATTTAATCGATACTTTACGAAGGCTATTTCAAATGCCTGTTTGCAACAATATGACATCACAAAGTAATAATATTTATTTTTTTGGATTTCACTATTTTACTTACCAATACCTTGGACAGGTGTTCTGGGGGTACCATTTAAATCAGTAAGGTTTGTCTGAGCCGCTTTGGTTGTTGCTGCGTACGCTACCATAAATGTAACATATTTGTATGCAAATGAATTATTTAAGATATTACTTTAGATAGAAGTTAAATCGTTGAATTAATATGTTTATTAATTAAAGTAGGCATTTAAAAGGAATTGGAGCGATGACAAGAATGCAAAAAGCTCCTTTCCATAAAAACCTTACTTAAAACACATACGAAAATAACGATTGCTGGAATCAAGTGCATCACGTGACCCATGACATCTGTCCTGCAAGTTCTGAAAAGAAAAGAAAGATGTTATTTTTGCGAAGAATATCTGGCTGATATTAAATCAGATATAGTATTATTGTATTGATTCATTAAATTTACGCAGTCTATGGGTTCATTTAAAATTGTATGAAGCTTTAAAAAGTGCATGGACGTCTTTGACACTGAAAATTTGATTTTGAATAATGTGCTGTTTGGCCATCGGTGTTGAGGGTATTGCTTGGGGTACGTTTGGAGATTCTTCTCGAAACTGGAAATTCAATGTCTGATGTCATTAAGAATTATTTACTGAATTATTAATATCGATTGTTTTCCCATGAATCACTTGTTGAACGTTGATAAAGCGCCTCCGGGGAGTGATCAAATAATTGGACATAAACGTAACTGTAATTCAAGTATATCCAACAAGACAAAACATTGTTTTAATATGTAATGTTTAGTCAACTTATTAGAAGGTGGTGTTCAGTGGTCACGCATATCGACTGACAGATACTCTCCAATGTCAATGGTGTTTAATCGCAGATGATGTAAATGTCAGATAGTGTACAATGTCAGATTGTGTCCATTGTCAAATGATGTTAATGTCAGGTGGTGTCAATGTCAGTTAGTGTCAAATGTCAGATAGTGTCCATTGTCAAATGATGTTAATGTTAGAAGGTGTCCAAGGTTTGTTAGTGTCGTATGTCAGATTGTGTCCATTGTCAAATGATGTTTATGTCCGATGGTGTCCAATGTCAGATGTTATCTATTGTCTTGGTGCTCAAATTTAGATGGTTTCAAATGTCTGATGGCGTCATAGGTTAGATGGTGTTCAACAGCAGAAAAAATTTCACGAACAGGATATGCCCCTCGAAACTTTCAGCCTGGGTATCGTAAACATTGAAAAGTTTTATAATGTCTTGCCATGTTCATTTCATGATTTTTTCTTAGTAATCGATTATTTGTGGATGTAAATTCCACTCATGTACATGAAATTTTTTTTTTTTAAATGTAAAGCATTGACATTGGCTACTGTTAACACTATTATAATGTTCATCAAGAATCGAGTTAATAGTAACAATAATGAGTTATTATTGACAATAATGAGGTAATGTTGACAATAATGAGTTTAAGTTGACAATAATGAGTAAATGTTGGCAATAATGAGTTAACTTTGAACTTCTTCGACTCGTACGTCCAACTAGTGTGTATTTATTAAGACAAGAATCATGAAAATAAGCAAAATAACCGTCCAGACGAATGAACTTATACTTAAGACATTCGAATCATGACTTTGTGGTACCAAATCCTCTTACAAGACCTTCAAACTGTTATGTAGCAAAATTTTTCCATGCGTGAACTTTACTTGACCTAAATTACAATATTAGCAGACAGTAACGTCTGTTGTGGGCGTGGCCTATTCGTTTTATGTATTTTGCTTACAACCGTGTTTACGACTTAAGCATGTTAGACTCTCTCCTGTTATTTTCTCGGATGTGCTCGATAACCCGAGAAATGTAAACAACACGGCATAAGTCTTTTCTTGAAGGCAGGGCTTACGAGGCCTATATAAGGGATTCACAGGCAGGGACGAAGGGGCGGAGATTCAGATATAAATTATTAACTTTACGAGACGTGTATTATTATTTGTGTTCTTATGTACGTGTTTATTTCGCATTCATCATTATTCATTGGCACATTATTCTAACTGTGTTAACTGTGTACCGGTACAAGATCTACCATACTGTAAGTTGATGATTTATAATTATATTTTTTTGTTTTATTATTGTCTTAATACTTAATAAATATTTATTAATTGTAACTGGCAACTTTTTTGGGTGTTGTATCTTTAATATTGTTGACTTTATGGTATCGTCCTTTGTTAGGCACTATTTACAACGAGCCAATAAAATTAAAATAGGAGATTAATTTCTCATATTAAAAGCCAGTGCGTATTAAAAATAACACGATAAAGTGTGTCTTTGCGAAATAATGGTACAACATTATTACTTACGGATTTTAAGTTGAATATGAAGATTCTCAAAACATGTTCTGGTTAGCTCCTGATACAAACTTGAAATATGCATAGCAAATTTTCACACAATAGGTAAAGCTTATTGTATCCATGGTTTGATCGATAAGAAGATATTCGTTAATTAGAGAGGAAAGGGGAGCGAATGTGAGAATGTTCGTTTTATTGATTGATGAACAACACGGGCAGCTCGACATGAACTTCGTGTTAGATCAATCCGATGTTATAGGGTGGATTTTAAAACAATTTGCCTTTCTTAAAGCAAACAGTGGCTGTAGGCAGTAGTTTTAAAGGTTAGGCTAGGACACCATGTGCAGTGAATATTTTAAATAATCTGCAAGGGTAGTCACCACACTGGTGGTGTTAAATGGTAGTGTAGATTAGTGGAGGCTGTAGTAGGTTTAAACGATTATGCAGGACAGTGGCAACAGAGGCTGTAACACTTGCCTCTTTTATATTCTTTAGCATTGTTGGCAGAAATCTAATTGCACAAAATATGTGACCTTGTATTATTTTCTTATGAATTGGCAGTGGAAAAAAAGGAAGGCAAGAAGATTTAAGAACATTTTTTTTTCTATGCAATCAAACAACATATTGGCATCAACATCAAGGCTGCTATACAGAGGCGTAGCAACAGTGTTTTGGCACCTCGAGACATCTGTACCCCCTGCCCCCCCTTTCGCGACGCCTCTGCTGCTTTAATAAGCGATGAAATAAGTTAGACCACCTTCCATACTGCTATAACAAGCCATGAAATAAGTTAGACCACCTTCCATGATGCTATAACAAGCCATGAAATAAGTTAGACCATCTTCCATGCTGCTATAACAAGCCATGAAATAAGTTAAACCACCTTCTATGATGCTATAACAAGCCATGAAATAAGTTAGACCACCTTCCATGCTGCTATAACAAGCCATGAAATAAGTTAGACCACCTTCCATAATGCTCTAACAAGCCATGAAATAAGTTAGACCACCTTCCATGCTGCTATAACAAGCCATGAAATAAGTTAGACCACCTTCCATGCTGCTATAACAAGCCATGAAATAAGTTAGACCACCTTCCATGCTGCTATAACAAGCCATGAAATAAGTTAGACCACCTTCCATGCTGCAATAACAAGCCATGAAATAAGTTAGACCACCTTCCATGCTGCTATAACAAGCCATGAAATAAGTTAGACCACCTTCCATGCTGCTATAACAAGCCATGAAATAAGTTAGACCATCTTCCATGCTGCTGCTTTTTTAAATGATCAATGAATCGACTTTTTCTTTTATTCACAACGGAATTTCCCTCCTGATTGGGAACATCGAAGAAATTGTTATGTAGTAGCGATCTGCTCTGTGACAAGTTTAAAGACAAACTGTATAAAACAAAACAGTAAAAAGCATAAAAGTACTATATCCCGTTTCTAGAAATTTCAAAAGTGGTAGCCCATAATAGGATTTCGGATAACCGGTAAACGGAGTGAGCTATTTGAGTACATTGGAAATATTTATTTGAAAATACATGGATTCAGATGCTAGTCATAGGACACAAGCAAATCGCTATCTGACGGAGGTGCCCAGCATTATTTGCCGTTGCTTAAAAGACAATGCTATTTGATCCCCATAGTTTTGTCTTATCTTTATTTGTTTTTGGTTGTAGAGGACTTTTTTAAACTTTTTTTTTTTAAATGTTCCCCTTCGCTTTCACACGAAAAGTATATTATGTGATGTTACAACATCATCAGCACGCCATTGACAAACACCACACATACTGCTGGCCATCTATGGCATCCTGGTCTACACCCACTCCTTTTGACTGTCTTGCCATTGGATCAAATAGGAAAAGGTGAGAGAGAGAGAGAGAGAGAGAGAGAGACAAACAGTGATGTAGATGAATTGAGCTGCTCTCCCTCACTTTAAACAAAACACAGCTCGTCAGGGTTACTATGGCTTAAGTCGAAAATCGCCTTGGTCAACTTCGCGGGCGAAGGACGGGCAGGGAATAAGTTATTGAAATTTAATTACTTTTCGTTTCTGGCGGACACATTCCTATATTATTTTGTATTAAAACATTCAACTCAAATCTGTATATGTCTATACATTTTACCTCTAGCTATTGTATCCAGTTTGATCTATTTAAGAGGCATCGCTTAATTCAGACAATTTTTGGATTACAGTTTATTTTGTTAATGTACCTATGAGTGCCCTGGTATAATTTGAGTGAATTTATGTTCGTATCAGTACACTGGGATAGTTAAAACAAACACAAGAGTATGTACGACTAAATATGGATATGAAGCATGGATTGAATGTGTCTTTTTTTTAAATGGTAAAGATGGATCAGTAAATTTATAGGTCTATATAAATTAATAAGTTAAATAACTCATGGAAATTAATAAAAATTTTGGGGGGAAATATTTTAATGAACAACATGTAAAAACAAAAGAACAGACGATAGAATTGACACCAAATGGTGTTTTCAGACTTTAATGTCATCAACGATGTGTCATTATTTTGCAGTTTGTCAAAGACTTGAAATGCACCAAAACAGGTCACGTGCTCTGTCCTAGTTGGAAACACCTGCAATTAAAATAATACATTCATCTAATTCTATAAATTGGCTATCGTCAACAGTAAACATCTAACTGGTTACCTGCAGAGTTTGATTCAGAGACGATGTGTGTTCATGTATTAACGAGCTATGTTTTTGACAAACATTAGTTCATTCATTAAATTTTAGACTGCCCAGAAATTAAATTAGAGAAGTGAAACGGATTGGTAGAAGAAGAAGAAAAAACAACAACAGGAATTTAAACTCAATGTCAAAAGGTTGTTTGCACATTTTAATTTTTAAAAAATAAATATTGCAAAAGGCGCACTTTTTAAAACCTTTATATTAACTTTGCTTTCCTTCATGTCTTTCCGGCTTGCAAACTATTTAAACGGCTAATCGACCCACTTCATGACAACCTATCGAGCTTAAACTTGGCATTTAGACACGCCGACGGCAACACAGTAAATCTATTTTAAGTCCCATCCCCTACACCAGTCCCCAAAATTATTTGTTGCTTAATTTACAAAGGAAAGAAGAAATATGACGCCACTGATTTTACTAAATCAAATTCCTGTTAACTGAGCTAAATAACATTCTTAAAAAATAACGCAAGTGCGTTTGGTGATTAATATTGTCGTTCATTTTTCTGAAATAGTGAATTTTGTAAATCTGTAATGTCAAAGTGGGTGGGTATTTATAATAATTATATAATTGAAGGGCGTGAATAAAATATGCAAATGCTAGCCTTGGGATGGGTTGGGGAAATCACTTAATACAGATTCTTTTAAAATGTGTGACGTGTATGCATGTTTTGTCAAATTTCCAGCCCATCCCACCCACCCCCGCCCCATTCTCTTTATTACATTTTATAATGCATTTATACAAAAACAATTATTTTTTCATTTTTTTTTTGGAAATTATATCTAATTTCTGTCTTGAAGTGTTTAACATCCAAATTAAAGTCTGCACTTACTTTCACAAGTCATTTTGACCAAGTCTCTCTTGATAAAGTCCAAGAGGTTGTAACCGCCGGTTAGGAACATATAATCAGGTTTACTGGCGATGCCCTGGAGTTCCGTCGTGTTGACGCCCGACCCGATGCCCACAGATATCAGGGTCACGTCCTCATTCTTCAGAAGCGTGGCCTCTTCCTGGGCTTAACAAACATGGCACGAGGAAAAACGTTCAAAGTACACTTTGTTGTTAGATTCTATTGTGCAGGCCCACTGCATTGTCAAAAACTTCATAAGTTACCACATAATGAGTGAAAATGAGAAAGTGAGAAGAAAACTGCAGGAGTATATGAAGATTGTAGATGTATCTTTAACAGGTGTCATGTATTATATCATATGCATGTAAGATGTCATGTATTAAATTTATAATTAACGTATTAACATATTAAGGTATGTTAGGTGTCGTGTATTATATAATATGTAAATCGTCAAAACCCCAGTTCCCAATACGCTCAATGAGGGCCCTTGCAACGAGTGATATATCTTCTTCAATACCAGACCCGGCAACATTACAAGTCCCTCTACATACATAGGAGCCAGACTGATCAATACATTGATTTTTGCTCTTATATATAGAAGAATAAGGTATGAGTGAATAGTGCGATGTATTATATCATTTCTATGTAAGATGTCATGTATTGTATCATACGTATGTAGATTGTCATGTATTATATCTTATATATGTTGGGTGTCATATATCATATCATATGTATGTGGGGTGTCATAATATTATATCATATGTATGTTATAAGAATATAATGAGGCGAGAGTCACGAGAGCAAACCCACAAATCAGATCATGTACTGTGACTGACACAGATAGCATGACATTGGCTGACACAAATACTGGGAAAGTGATTGGCATCCTGATTCCGTGACAGTGTCTCGCATATTGCTACCGTGACAGTGGCTGACATATTAATACCTGACAGTTACGTTTATATATTGGTACCTGACAGTGACTGCAATATTGATAACATATTAGTGGCTAACATACGGAGAGATCAATCATGGCATGCGACCATGTCTGGCATATTGATACCCGACAGTGTCTGTTATACCGAGACATAATATCATGACATATTGATTCAGAGGCTAACTTACTGATAACATGACTGTGGCTAACTTACTGATCAAATGTCAGTTGCTGACTTACTGAGAAATGATACCATGACTTTGTCTGACATTTTTATGCAATCAAACTGACATACATACTTCTTGTTGACTGACGACACAATAACATACATACTGCTTTTTGACTGACTGACACAATGACATTGGCTGACTTACTTAGAGTGGGTAAGGTCGACAGCCCGTCCGTCATGACAATGACAATATTTTTGACACCATCTCTGCCGCCATTCTCTGGACTGAACAGCTTCTGCTCCCGAATCTCCTTCAGACCCAGGTGAGTGTTGGTACCACTGCGGTAGGGGTACTCTATGCTTAATATTGCCTGAACAAGAAAACAAATAGATTTCAAACCTGTTTTTTTTTGTTGTTGTATCAATTATATTTTTTTTTCTTTTAAGGTAACAGGTGACTTTAAATTGACTACGTTAAGACTAGCACGTTATGAAAACTTGAAGTGACTCAGGAAAACTTATCCTGAGTTCAATGCCTAGAGGAAATTCAAAAGATAGCAATGCGTTGAGCAAGGAATTGTGGGATGGCATTGACATTACACTTAACTCTGTACCTGTAATTTTAAAATGATGGGCTTAAACATTTTAAAGACATATCTATGTGTCATCACATGATTATAGACCTTAGTATGTATTAGGACATTTCAAAGACATTTCCGTGTATTATTACACGATGAAAGGGATTTCCATCTATTATTCCATAATTAAAGACAATTCTATCTAGTATCACATTGTCAAAGACATTTCTATGTAGTAGCATATAGTTTAAGACATTTCCCTGAATTATGACATGGTTAAAGACATGTCAATGTATTATGACATGATTAATGACATTGCTATGTATTATAACATGTTTAAAGACGTCTCTTTGTATTATCATATGGTTAAAGACATAACATATTCAGTGCTTTTTGTGTCATATTAATGTTTAAGAAGGGTGTCAACAATATTCTATGATATGGCAGTTAACTTAAATCTACAAAAAATATCTATGTATGTTATAGATTAATGTTTGAAATGTTTAAGCTAAAGATATGCAATCAAATATTAATCACAACTATTCGCTATGGATTTACTGAAACCTTCAAAATGTTTTTAAGATCCATGCTCTGTTTATTAACAGTGTCCCTTAGGAGTTTAACCCTGATGTATGCAATAGAGAATAGGAAAGATAGCTTCATAGCGCGCTGACGGATACTCAACAAATATTTGATGATGACGGTACAGCATTGTGTCGCACAGAGTAAATGGAACCATTCTGAGCCCTTCAAACGTTTACATTGACGTATAAAGTATTTGCCCCATAAACATAAACCATTGATATGTCCTGTAATATGGTCTTAAGCAAGGAGCGTAACTTCCTGTGTACGTAGCTTTCTACGTACGTGACTGTCTATGTAAGTAACTGCCTATGTACGTAAATGTCTATGTACGTAATAGACAATTTACGTAAATTTCTATGCACGTCACAGTCTTTGTACATAATTGTCAATGTTTATAACTGTCTATATACAAAATTGTCAATGTACGTAACTGTCTATGTACATAATTTTCAATGTACGTAACTGTCTGTGTACATAATTTGCAATGTACGTAACTGTCTATGTACATAATTGTCAATTTACGAAACTTTATTATATGCACATAACTGTCTATGTATAAAATAGTCAATGTACGTAATTATCTATGAACGTAACTGTCTATGTACGTACCGTACTATGCTCTTTACTGCCTATGTACGTAACTGCCTATGTGATGGATTAAGGTCAACAACAAAATACCTGAGATATTGATTTGTGGTCGAAGTAAGTTTTCAAATCGAATATCTTAGTCGGCGACTTGTTAAAAAGGAGTGTACCGAATCTGACGTCATTAGCACCCACAGTGAACGCCTGGGTCACTTCGTCGGCGAATTTGACCTGCTTCTGCCAGTTGATGGACCCGATGCTAGTGGAGGCGTCCAGCAGTAGGATGATGTCGGCCTTGGTCGTGTTACGACAGGGCTGAACCGGGGGTGGTGTTGGTGCTGAAGTTAAATGTCAAGGGTCAATAGAGGAACACATTGGTTATAATATAATCGGTGCCTAATGCTTTAAAAAGAATTAAATGCATGTATAAACTTGTAACAATATACACGTTCATTGTAATTATTAAGCAGAAAAAGATGTCTGGTTTAAAAATTATACTATTCCGTTAGAATTGATATTTGTGTGAAAATTGTTCTTATTTGATTGTGTATCATTTCATTGAATCAATCCATGCTATCATTCCACTAACACACATATTCTAGGGGTGGGAGGGGGGGGTTAGAGCTTACGCTCTTAAAGACCCAGCTCGTACATATGCAACCAGCTCCATCTGATGGGGCTGCCCGGCTAGTACATTGGCTACCAGCTCCATCTGATGGGGTTGTGCTGGCTAGTACATTGGCTACCAGCTGCATCTGATGGGGTTGTGCCGGCTAGTACATTGGCTACCAAATCCATCTGATGGGGTTGTGCCGGCCTTTACATTGGCTACCAGCTCCATCTGATGGGGTTGTGCCGGCTAGTACATTGGCTACCAGCTGCATCTGATGGGGTTGTGCCGGCCTGTACATTGGCTACCAGCTCCATCTGATGGGGTTGTGCCGGCCTGTACATTTGCTACCAGCTGCATCTACTGGGCTGTGCCGGCTAGTACATTGGCTACCAACTGCATCTGATGGGGTTGTGCCCGCCAGTACATTGGCTACCAGCTCGATCTGATGGGGTTGTGCCGGCTTGTACATTGGCTACCAGCTGCATCTACTGGGCTGTGCCGGCTAGTACATTGGCAACGAGCTCCATCTACTGGGTTGTGCCGGCTAGTACATTGGCTACCAGCTCCATGTGATGGCGCTGTGCATTATAACATCATCAGAACCCAGGACTCTCCCGCAGACCTGGCTTCCCCCGCATGATCTAGTCCTGGGCATTCGGTCAAGAGATGCGTAGCGTTTCTGGGTTCAGGCTGCAATGTCGACAGGTCGGGTTCCTGTTGTTGTCTAGCGTTTGAAAGCATGCGTTAGAAGGGCAAAGCTCTGTTCTCCTTTTGGTCACCAGACTCTGTTCTCGGCGACCCAAATTCCAATAGTGGCACGGTTTGCTTTGAAAGACATTCCACTAAATCTTTCCATTGTATCATGTCATTGTGCTAAATGAGGTAAAATCGCCTGTTTCAGTATGTCAGTATGATTATGCCTTCAGGCAACCAGGCCAACATGCTATGTTATACGTCAACAATGTACAAAAAGTATTACTGCGAATATTAGATTTTAAATTCAACCTTAACTTTTACCTGGGGTAGTAGTTGGCTTAGCGGTTGTAGTTGTAGGTGAAGCTGAAGTTGTTGTAGGTCTAGGTGTTGTAGTTGTTGTAGTTGTTGTGGAAGTTGTTGTTTTTGTGGTGGGTCGCGTTGTTGTTGTCGTTGTTGTAGTTGTTGTTGTTGTAGGTCGGTTTGTAGTTGTTGTTGTTGTAGGTCGGGTTGTAGTTGTTGTAGCTCTTGTGGTTTGTGTCGTTGGTCGGGTGGTGGTGGTTGTACTTTGTGTTGTTGTTGAATCTTCCCCTGGAAAATATACATTCATAAATTGTAAAATTCTTTAATTATTACATTCATGTATTATAACTTTCATATATTTTAACATTTAAACAAATAACTTTCATATATTTTAAGATGCATACATTTTAACATTTATGTAGTATGACATTCAATTATTATAAAGTTCATTTAATATAACATTTATATAGTATGATATTAATATATATAACATTCATATAGTATAACATTAATGTATATAATAAAATACATATATTATAACATTAATATTTTATAACATTTGATTATTATAAGATTCATATATTATAAGTTGAATCAATTTAGAAAAATTAAATAAAATAAAAAATACATTGCGATGAAAAGATTAGATTCCAAAGTCATTTAAATGAGTTAACTAAAAGATAAATATCATACACACTATGATTCGCTGACCAGATTCAAGTACTACTAACATCAGTGAACATAGCTCGGCTCCCGCGAAATTATTGTTGAAATGCTTATTTCCGAACTGCTAATGCTGATAAGGATAACCTTATAGTAAAACAAAAATTTTAAATTCAAAGGCTGCCTGAGATAGACCTACAACTTCCTACCAGCATGTCCTGCTGCAGTGAGTGTGGACGTCATGTCAACAAAGATATGGACATGAGACTGCTAAGTAATGGGAACATAGGAGCAAGGTCTGATATTTGCAGGCTAGTTGGTCATTTTTGAGCATCGTTTTTTTATAGCGTCCACATTGTGGACAACAGTGTCACTAAAATTACTAATTTGTTTTTTGTTTTGTTTTTGTTTTCATTAGAGCTTACCACGACTTGGTTCTTGGTACTCGGTTTCTGGCAATAAATTAAAGTATTGATCAATCATTGGTGTAACATTTAAATAAATATATATTATAAAATATTTATTAAAAGGTATAAGAAAATAATTTGGTATGACTATCAATGATGTGAACTACGCTAAAGTATTATCTTAAGCTCAAAATATATTCAATGCTAGCAGAGTTTCATTTTTATTTACGACACTTAAAGTTTCTCTAACAATTATGAGATGTCATACATCTTAAACTTTAAAACTTAAAACATTTAATGTTATGCTAGAAACATTGTGGATAGTTAATTGTATAAGGCAGGCAGGGAAAGGGAAGTTAATTGTATAAGGCAAGCAGGGTCAGGGAAGTTAATTGTATAAGGAAAGCAGGGCCAGGGAAGTTAATTGTATAAGGCAAGCAGGGTCAGGGAAGTTAATTGTATTACGCCACCCCGGGGCTCCATTTGACAAGTCTGTGGTGGCTTGTCGATTAGGAGGCGTCGGTCACTGACCCCCTCGTCGTTACCCGGGGGACAAAACTACTGGGCGCATCCTGCGTGGGCAGACAAGGGATGTGCTCGGTACCTGCCTTACATAAAACAGCTCCCACAGGGTTGCCAGTTGTGATATTTTACAGCTGGAAAATTAGGCAGAGCCAGGGTAGGGATCATGATTACAAGTTGGCGGTGACGGGTATGTGAGGGTGGTAACCTCTGGGCGAGGATTCAAAAAATGCAGCCCTGAGAAAGCTGCCCATAGGCAACCGTTTCGTCCCAGCTACAGCTTCGAGCTAGTTGCGTTTTGGAAACCCACTGTGGAATCCCTCTTATAGGGCGTCGGACGCTTTCCCGGGATGGGTGCGAGAAGATATTTGGACGTAAATTTTCCATCCCAACTCCTAAAGAAAGTCGATCGACTGCACTATTTAAATGCATAGTGTCGGTTCGACCGGGTGCCTGCTGGTTGGGGCGGCCCCCAGGCGGGGTCCTGGTTGAGCGCCCATGCGCCCGGGTGGAGGACTTGGGTGAGGGGTCCGGGTGGGGCCGTCCTGACGAGGGGGCATCTCCAACGTGCCGCTCCGCGGCCTGATACGTAGGGCCAGGGAGGGGTAATTTGGGGGGGCATAAAGAGTGCAAACTCGCCCCGCTGACGCCATTTCTTGATGTAAAATTGTATTAGGCAAGCAGGGCCAGGGAAGTTAATTGTATAAGGCAAGCAGGGCCAGGGAAGTTAATTGTATAAGGCAAGCAGGGCCGGGGAAGTTAATTGTATAAGGCAAGCAGGGCCAGGGAAGTTAATTGTATAAGGCAAGCAGGGCCAGGGAAGTTAATTGTATAAGGCAAGCAGGGCCGGGGAAGTTAATTGTATAAGGCAAGAAGGGCCATGCTAAGAAAACGTGACGTCATGGGTAAAGTCTAAAAATGAAGCCCCTGAATAATAAAGGAAACATAATCGCTAAATAAAGAAGATGAATTTTGTTCCCCTTATCTTTGTGAAAAGCACGTGAGTGAATCTTTTAATTAACCAATAATTTTAAATCTTTAGACGACATTTTAGCGCCCTTGCTGATGTTGGCTCCCGGGTCTAATGTCCCTTTGACCTCCCGATTCACACGGCCCTGAGGGAGCATAACTAAACAGTAAAATGACGTCATGGCAACAGCAAAGTGACGTCACCAGTCCCTCCTGTAGACACACGATGCATGCGGTAAAGTCAAACTAACCGGCATATTGTGGGGGATCCGACTCTGAAAATGAAACATATAAAAGCTTTAGTTAATGTGCTTGTTAAATTGAAAAAAAAAATTCTGGTTTTTATAAAGAAATTATAAAGTAGTTTATCAAATAGTTTTGTTTCTTTATTAAAATATGTTTAGCTTTTAAACTTATAAAATGATTTTCTCTTTTTTTTTTTTTTTTTTTTTATTTTTTAAATTTTTTTTTTTTTTTTTTTTTTTTTTTTTTTTAAATCTCATGCTATACTTTATATAAATCAAATGATTTACATTTAATGAAAAAATCGAATCAATAAAAGCCATTGGTCTGTAGCCTTCAGTACGCTGATTTGACACTTAATATAGTGGAACATTTTCAATAGTATTTTATTTTTTAAAAATGCTAGCAAGCTCCTAGCGTTTTGTCATATTTTTATAATGTAAAACGATACAGCAAAAGTCTTTTAGTTTTGATTAGATTACCAATTGAACCAACATTTTCCATATTTGGCCAAAACGGACAGTGTAGAACTTTGGAAACCGGTCTTTGATAAAGCAAAATCTTGTGTGAAAATTGTTGGTTAGGCATACCAGAATAAACTGGTTGCTAATTACATACCGGAATAAACTGGTTACTAATACTACCTGAATAAACTGGTTGCTAATACATACCGGAATAAACTTGTTGCTAATACACAACTGAATAAACTGGTGGCTATACATACCTGAATAAACTGGTTGCTAATATATACCGGAATAAACTGGTTCCTAATAAATATCGGAATAAACTGGTTAATAATATCTACCTAAATAAACTGGTTGCTAATACATACCGGAATAAACTGGATGCTAATACATACCGGAATAAACTGGTTCCATATACATACCTGAATAAACTGGATGCTAATACATACCGGAAAAAAACTGGTTCCTAATACAAAGCGGAATAAACTGGTTGCTAATATATATCTGAATACGCTGGTGGCTAATACATACCGGAATAAACTGGTGGATCCATTTCTGAAATATTTTGAATTCAGAAGGGAAAAAAAAAATTAAATCATTTATAATATTAAAGATGTTCTCAGAATATGTTTCATTTAAAACTACATATACTAATACATAACATATACATCTTTAAGTGGTCATGTTCATCACGGTATGTATTTAATGAAGTATGATCAGAAATATTAAATATCTTACAAGCCTCTCACACGTGTATGACTTTGTTCATACATCCAACGCTATAAGCCAGCACTGCAATACACGTTTTATGATAATTAGTTTTTAGTCGTTGACATATCACATTGTCTAAATTACTTACCGCCATAAGTAGGGGGTCCTTCTTCTGTAACGAATACACAGATGAAATATGTATGAGCATATCACGGTTGACATGTTAGTTAGCGTTGTGAAGTTAGTGCTTACTGCTTACATATTCAATTTCTTTTTACATGTTTTTGATTTAGCCTCATGTTTTATGGTAGAACATAAAGGTTATGGAAGAGCACAACTGAGTAGAGACAAGGTCATCCTTGTAAGAGTGACCAAAACATCATGGCTCTAAAAGTGACAATATATCATGTTTCTGACCATAACATCATGGTTCTAAAGGAGAACGTAACATCATAGGTCCTTGTGTGCTAAATGACGCTAACTGTTCAATATACATTAACTATTGTATACATTACTTACCGACGTAGTATGGCTCTTGTTCTATACAGAATCGTAAGAAAGACACGAATAATTTGTTACTGTGTATAGATACTATGTATTTTTAAATATACTTACTTAAAGATACGTTGACAATAATATGATTACATTTCTAAAATAATAAATTTTAATACTTTCATTTGCTTGGCTTACCATTTAAAAATCTTTTCCTCCTCGCTGAAAAAAACGTATAAAATTCAAATCTAAATGTTTTATTTAATAAAAAACTTATAAAAACTGTTTCTCTTTTAAAGCCACCTCTGATAAATTAATCATATCAAATTACTTCTTTTGTTAATAAATATATTTTATTACGAATGCCTCAAATGAAATTACTTAAGATGTTAGGACCCTGCAAAATTTGGAACATAAATTCAGTGACATCATGTAAACGAATGCACTGCCATTTTTGTACAATGATGCTCAATTAAATTTGGATTTGAGGAATAAAAACATCGAACTTAAAATTGTGTGTAGTGGGCAAATCAACATTAAAATGTACGCAGGGCTCAAACCGACATGAAAATTATGCAGTGTTCATACCAACAAAATTAAAATGAATGCGGTGGTCAAACAAAAATTAAAATATAGCAGTGGTCAACACTAGATTAAATTTTATACAGTGGTCAAACAAACAAAAAATATGTGCAATGGTCAAAACGACATAACAATATGTGCAGTGGTCAAAACAACATAACAATATGTGCAGTGGTCAGAACAACATAACAATATGTACAGTGGTCAGACCAACATAACAATATGTACAGTGGTCAAACCAACATTACAATATTTACAGTGGTCAAAACAACATAACAATATGTACAGTGGTCAAACTAACATAACAATATGTACAGTGGTCAAACCAACATAACAATATGTACAGTGGTCAACCCAACATAACAATATGTACGTGGTCAAAACAACATAACAATATGTAAAGTGGTCAAAACAATATAACAATATGTACAGTGGTCAAACCAACATAACAATATGTACAGTGGTCAAAACAACATAACAATATGTGCAGTGGTCAAAACAACATAACAATATGTACGGTGGTTAAACCAACATAACAATATGTACAGTGGTCAAACCAACATCAAAATATGTACAGTGGTCAAACCAACATATAAATATGTGCAGTGGTCAAACCCTCACCAGCGCCGTCCACAGTCAAGCAGAAGAGAAGTTGAGAACCCAGCAGGTACGAGAGCACTTTCATTTTAAGAAATTTCATTCTGTCAAGTTACTGTTAAGGTAAAAATAAATTTAGACAATTTCGTTGATATGAAAATCCAACAGAACACATTGATGATGGAGTTCAAAACCCACATTTAAGGCTTTGAATTTCAATATAAATAAGATAAGTTAAGACAAGATAAGATATTTTTAAAATCAACTAAAAATAAAAGAATGTGTTTTTGTTTTTTAATTTTATTATAAATATTTATTTTTATCTCATAAATAAAATATGCACTTTTAACCAAGATAATATTTTACAATTATAACAATTTATTCTTAAGACATTGTAAGTAGTTCTCTAGCATATAACTCTGCCCTGAAAGAACTACATTAGAGAAAATAATGACTTATTTTTTG